TTCATTTCTTGTGTAGTGGAAAGGACCTTATACTGCCCTTCTCCTATCCTGTTGTTACTTGAAATGATAACAATTATTTACTAGAGTAAGGAAGCAATTTCCAGACACATTTGAAGTCGGACGAGCATATCTCGATAAATATTCTACTATAAGATCTTTTCTCAGTTATAATAGATAGTACCACCTCTTTCTTACTTGCAAACAAGAAACCAAACCAATTGCTTGCGTTTTATAAAAATAATGCAAAGAAGACAACACCGTCCGAAAGCATCAATTTCCGGCTACAAAGATCAAAAATCGAACACCAGGTCGTAAAATGCTAAGCCTGATGAGAATAGCTACAAATTAGTATGAATGTTATACTTCGATATTATGCCTATCAGCACGCCAAACTAACAAGCGTAACAGTGTAAAAATATTCCTATAATTGTTTTCACCACCTTGCAAGTACAGCTAGGTTCTTATTAAGACTTATGAAGGTTCTTTCTACCTTCTAATGCTTCCAGAAAAGACTTCAGACAGTATCTCTATGTTCTCTTGCTGTTAGAAAGATCATAACTTTGTCCCATGTGTAAGCCGCCATTTTGTTTGTCGTAACCACACCCACTTACGTAGCGTGGGCGGGTGGTTGCTAAGGCTTGTTATTTCTCCAATACAACGTGTATAGAAGAAATGCAAGTGTTGACATACAAATATATATATATCGCACGTGGGTGAAATCAATTATAGGACGACCTGGGGGCTACGCCCCCAGGTCGTAAAAAGATCCTTCCACTTTCTTTCCGACAGTAATAAGCTTTGAAAGTGAACAGTCCATCTACGGACACGCCCATTTTTGTTAATTAAAATTAATCAAGAGTCACTGAATATAATTAAGTAGAGCAATCACCACAAACAAAATCAAAATCATCTCTTTTTGCAGTCATGTATGGAACAGCAGCACAGGAACAGTGGTACCATCCTAAACATAGTGAACAATTTATCCAATTCCTGGCTCGAGGATGATTACACAGCCCTCTTAAACAAATACTTTCTTTATTGACAGATGTCCTCTCTCGAGTCTTTCCTCTGGTAGTTCGACCAGTAAGTGTCTCTATTTAAAGTATAAATGATGAATGACATACTATTATCACTGACCATCAACTTTCTTTCCTCTTCCCACAGTAGTTCGGCCAGAAAGTGTCTCTATTTAAAGTATAAATGATGAATGACATACTGGTATCACTGACCATCAACTTTCTTTCCTCTTCCCACAGTAGTTCGACCAGTAAGTGTCTCTATTTAAAGTATAAATAATGAATGACATACTGGTATCACTAACCATCAACCTTCTTTCCTCTTCCCACAGTAGTTCGACCAGTAAGTGTCTCTATTTAAGGTATAAATGATGAATGACATACTGGTATCACTAACCATCAACCTTCTTTCCTCTTCCAACAGTA